AAAAAAAACTCCTTTCCCCCTTCCCCCCAAAATTATATAATCTATCAATAATTTGAAAGAAAAAGATGTAAAAGTTAATAAAACTTTTTAATAATAATGACCATTAAAAGAAAGCATTTTAATAATTAAAAAAAGGCGAAAAAATGAAATTACTTAAAAAAATATATAATGACCAAAGATTTTTTACAGTAAGTGGACCAAAACACTTTCAATAAATTCATCATACGCATCTATCCCCTTCCTCCCCTTAGCATACATATGTTATTAAACATAAAGTAAATTCAAGTCAATTCTTTTCAAAATCATTTTTGAGTTAATTGGGAAACTAGGTTAAAGCTAGTCTGCCATAATTTTTGAGTCATTTTTTTGATTTTATATATTCGATAATAAAAAAAATTTATGTAACAAAGATAACTTACAACACTGAATCGCTTTTTTGGCATCAAACATTTCGTTTCTAATTTATTTTCGCGAAGAATCAATAAGCATAGTCGATAGGGATAATCGGGAAAAGAATATTTCAATCTCAAATATACCTTTAAAAATATATTTTTTAATATAATCAATTATGAATTAAAGTTGTTTAAATTTTTACTTTATTATTGGTTATCATATTTCCGATTTTATCCATTTTATTTACAAGTGGATATTAATAGGGTAAAAATTTTAACCATAAAAAGGTTAAAAAAAAAGACGTAAGGTGGAACCTTTTTTCAACATTCAATTACATTTATCTCAATAGGTTTCGTAGATTTCAAGGCTAAAATTTTGCACATACATTCTCACAAGTCACAACATCTTAAAAAAATATTCTGAAATAAAATTATTATTTCGGGATTACTAAAATTTTAAGATTCTTCTAAAAGTCATGATTTCTCTTTATAGATTTATATAAATGAAAAAATGCTTTTAGTAATAATCGGTCAGAAATGTCCTCAGCACAAAACCCGGTTAAAAGTACCGCTTTGTCTTAACCTCTAAGACCTTGGTTGTTATGACACTGCTACGCATTTTTTAATAATCAAATGCCATAAAAATATTCGAAAAATAATGGAATAATAAACAATAGCACATATAATATTATATTAACATCACTCCTTATTTCCAATTTGACATCAGGTACGTTACTCAATATGGATTTCAAGATGTGATAATTTAGCTCTGATATTGAACTGTTGAAATCAATATTCAATGATTTATTAGTTTTAATTGGAAGGAGATCATCGGTCACATCTAGCGGAAGGATCACATTTGCCCCTCTTCTTAGTAAGATAAATGCTTCGGGACTGTACATATAATTTTAAAAAAAATTATGTAAAATTTAAAAGTTAACAACTTATATGAAATATTTTATATAAAGTGCTGATTATTTGAAATATATTCCCTTTTCGCTTTAAAAATTCACTTATATAAATTTTTTATTGATTTTTTCTATCAATATGTTAATAGTTACGAACATTGGTTTATACTACTCGCGCGTATTATTTTTTGGTGATCATTTATATATGTAAAAAAAAATTAAAATGATGCGATAATTGAATAAAATACATAGCTATTAGTAATTTTACATGTCTTCGATTTTGGCTAATTCTGGCGAAATGTCTTTCGTCTTTAATATCATATCTTTATATACCACGCAACACAGCGAATGTGGATTAGTTTCTTTGCATTCTTATAATATACGTTGAAAAATGTTATTAAATTTTTAAATATTTTAAATACATTTATTTCAATTTTTCAGGAAGAAATTTTTTTAAAATAGCTGAGACCTGGACGAAAGTCAAAATGTTCTAAAAAAAATAAATCGGAGTGGGGCCTAACAAAGACTTTTTACAACATCCCTGAGCCAGGTCGATATTTATTAATAAATTTAAATTATATCCATTAATCGGAATCATATAAAAGAGTTTATTATTCATTTGTTGCTCATATTTCCAATTTTCCTTTAATGATTACCGTCTAAATTTTTCAAAATGACAAAAAATTTTGACAACAAGAAAATATTTATATGCATCTTTAATATAATTATTTACCAGGCTTAACTTTCTTCTTTTTTTTTGGTTTTTGAGCCTCGATTGTCCGATTTTTAAGAATTTCCATATCCTTAATGATTTTAAGCATATCGTCACTGTCAAAACCATCCGGATAAGAAGAATTTTTGGTTAACATGAAAGCCAATTGGACTCCAAATGGTAATTTGGTTACTTTTGATTTTTTTTTATTGTTATTCACGATGAGATTGCTGAGGGTAGTGGAGATACTTTTGGATATTGAATGATTGGGCCTTTGAGCTGATATACATATATCAAACAAGATGTAGATATATATTGAAAACCCCATAAAATCCATATCTAAGGATATCTGGCGTTAATTATAATTTAAATATTTTGTAAATGAATATTGGAATATATCAAGGAAGATTTATATAATTGTTAATTATTTATTTTTTTAAATATTGTCCTATATTATAATTAGTTTACTCGGATTAGGTATATTAATTAAAAAATTTCTATTAATATAGCTAAGCAAATATTGTAACATTTATAATCTGAATGACCTCTTTATAATGGAAAAAAAGTTTATTTAAATGACTTAAATGACCTTAGCCTAATTTTTGAAATTAATAAATCAAATTATTTAAGATAAAAATGATAGGTAAGATACAAAACCGTGTTTTTTGTTAATGGAGCAAAATAAATTTAGCGGCCATTTAAAAACCACCTACACTTAAGCTTTAAAACTAATTGTAATATAGAACTAGGTCGTCATTTAAAATGGTTTTCATGGATAAGTAGTTTAGTGGAGGAAGGTATGTAGGGGAAAATTTTTATTCTCTTAAAATGATATTTAAGAAAACAAGCAAATTTCCAAAGAGAGTGGGCAGGGGGGAATCCCCCCCCCCTCCCCCTTCACTTGCCTGCGCCTATGATACTATTTTAAATAGTATAATATTATGTTTTTGAGAATATTGTCATTAAAGATTCAATATTAAGGGAAGACAATTTAAGATGGTCTATTAATGGAAATATAATATGTCAAGCATAATATTAGTTATAATGTAGTATTAAACTCATCTAATGCTTTGTATAACATATTACAATTTATAATGCAATATCGTATGTCTAATTCTGACAACTATTATCAATAATTTAGTTAACATCACTTTTATAAGCAATATCCGAATTCTGAACATCGGCGGAATAAAAAATATAGTATATTTTATTTAAATGGTTTTCTTAAAAGATCATTTGCCTTAAATCAAATTAGAATGTCAAAAACGGTATATTCAAAACTATTAAATATCAACATAGAATTTCATAGAGAAACGAATGTGATAGAGAATTTTATATTGAAACTAATGTGATAGTTTTAATTTATAAATCTTTTGGAGGCTTATAACCCTATAAATTACGAGTAATATCAGTAATTATTTCAATGATTACCAAAGATATACAAGGTTTAGTAAATAGTTATATGTTAAGTTTTGAAAGTAATATTGAAATATTAAAGTTTAAGTTAATATAATCAGGCAAATTTAAGTAAATTAAAGATTGGATCTTTTAAAACAAATGTGAATTCAGCCTAACAAATTAATTAAGCACGGTATACTTTCTTTTAATTTACAAAAATTCTTCAATATTTTTTGTTTTAAAAGTGACAAAACAAAATAATCAAAAATACAAAATCTTTTTTAAATCTATATTTTTATATGTAGAAATAAATATGTTTTAAAAAACCCGCACTGTTATTTCTTTTGCTCCCCTTTTTATTTTCTACTAAATTTAATCTAATATTATATAATATGCAAAACGTAAAGATCAAACTTTATCTAATATTTCACCAAATATTATTTGAAATAATATAAAAAAAATACACAAATGAAATATCAACAAATAAAACATCTTCCTTTACGGGAGTTTTCCGAAAGATAATCATATCCTATTTCTCTATAACCAAATTCCTTTTCAATATTAATTTTAAGCCCATACTCTTTTATTCCTTCCCTTTAATTGACATAAATTTAAGAGCCCTTATTATCCTCTTAGAATATTCTCAATTCTTAACTGACACTATAGAAGTCCCTTCTAATTTTATTTAAGATTATTCCCCCTGATTAGCCACAATTCTCCTAATTGGTTGTTTATATCTTCCATCTCCATTAAATATGATCTGTTTCTCCGAAGATTCCTCTTTAATTTGGACTCTGTGACACCTACATGAACCCTTAATGTATTTTTCATAATTATTTCTTATTCTTATCCTTCTTTATATCATCAAATTCACAAAACTGATAAAATTGTCCTTAGCTTATTCATGACAGCGTAAATTGCTTTACATTTTATATGTTAAACATGAATGAAGATTGGATGTTGGTAATTTCCCCCAAAAATAAAAAAAATATGTTTTCCTTTTAGGAACCCTCAAATTTTCTAAAACCGTGAGACCATTCTTCACCAAGTGGTCTACCGACCTGTGATACACGACTAATGGAGGTTCCTATTCTATTTTCATTGTTCTTGTATGTTACTCTTGTCAATTTGACAGTTGTACCGCAAAAATTTTGGGTCCTGAAATAATCTTATTGTTCCCCCTAATAATTGAAGACCAATTTATCTGCAAAATTATAGCACCCCCCCCCCTTTTTCCTATCACCCTTTGCGAGAGTCTTTTTTACGCATTTAAGTATTAACAAGTTAGAATTTAAAAAAATATGACAAGTATTCGTATTTTACATAATGCACTTAGTGTGGTAACTAATTTAAATATTATATTAGTTTTACAATAACATGACAACCTAACTCTTCCAATTAAATTACATTATTAATTACATGCTCCTGCGTGAGAACCCTTACATGATACTATTATCTCAATATATTATTATATTTGTTAGCTTTGTTTACGAAGAAGGAAAACGAACAAAAAAATGAAAGTCATCATTTTCAAAAATATAATATTTTTATCACCATTTCGATTTTTATTTAATTTTTATTTTTATCACTAAAATTTTTTTATTTTTTCAAATTTTGCTTCCAAAAATAATGAGTAATATCATAATATTAAATATAATACAATCTGTCAAATTAAATAATAATTAATTTGTTGCTAGAATATGTTTGCTCCAGTTCAAAAATAATAAATTATACAAATATCAAATAAAGTTAATATTGGTATTTTGTGATGACATGACGCTGCAGGGGCGTGGACAACAATCCGGATACAAAGCTTTTTTATCAACAGTAACACAAGGTGACGAGAATGTTCCACACCTTAAAATGTAAATAGTTTATAAGTAAAATGAATATAATAGAATATAAATTTTCTTCTTTCCTTCCCTATCCCTTCCTGACACATATTAAAAATGTTTGTGATATACGTGTGGCATTCCATATTCGTTTCAAGACCATATGATGAGCACATACATTTCATACAAGGTTGATCACATTTCCATTCATCACCTGGGCTCAAAGTAAAACTTAAGTTTAAGGCATTCATTGAACATTTGCCTAAATAAAATATGAAAAAAAATTAGCGAAATACATGATGCGTAGTAGCAGAGCCCAGAAACTTCTACTCTGTGGGAGGGGGCGTGGGTAGGATGTAATAACATCTTTGAAATTGGAGTGGAGTAACTAGTCATAAAGACTATTTTGGATTTCCTCTTTTTGCTAATTTTAATTTTGTAAGAGTTAGTTGGGGGGGGGGGTTATCAGAGGGTTGGCTTGGGGAGGGGGGGGAGTATAGATGTCCCTAGCAGAAGAGCCTGCAGGAATTTTTTGAGGACAAAAAATATTTATATGTGGCAAAATGATCTTTTATATTAAAAAAGACGCAATGTGGCTACACTATTTACTAAAAAAACTTCATAACCTTTTATTAATATTTTTTCATCATTTATTAGTATATTAGACGTTTATATCTCAGAATTTATTTTACATTCTAGTAAAAGGGTAAATATTGTTGATTGGCAAAATATTATAGTAAGAAATAGGGTTATGCAAAAATTAAGATTGCTATTCTTAAAAGAGTGCATTCCAAAATAACATGAATAAAAATTTTTATACTCCAGATTTAAGGTCCTTATGCAGAGATAGTTATTGGGATTAATAATGCTACTGCTATAACGGCTTTAGCCAGTCTCCCCTATAATGTAGAATAACGTAACCCTCTAAATCTTCAAAAAACTCATAAGTTTAGAAATTTGTTGCGTTCATCTTTCTTAATTTAAACCCCTTTTTTTTTAGAAAAAATAATAGAAAATTAAGAAGATATTATAATCTAAAATTAGTAAAAAGAAAGAAATCCATATCCAATTTTACATTTTAGAAAAAGGAAAGTAGAAAAGAGAATAAATAAGAAAGAAATATTAGTTTAAAAAATTAATTAAAAATTTTAAAAATTAGTATGCTTAAAATTTTGTAATATATTAATTCTGGCTTACTAGTATTAAAAGACCTTACACTAAAGGTGGCTCCTTGAACATTATGGGTTGGCCATATTATGACACATACCAATACCAAACTCATGACCAGAATAGATTGAATATTATTTAATTGAGACATCTTTGAGATTTGCAATTTTATATAATAATTAATTATGTTATTTCAAATTTATAAAATATTTCAAATTAATTATAATAAAATGTACGAACAATTTTATATTTATTTCAAATTTTCGGATTAATATTGTTTTTTTAATCGAATGCCGGAGGAGTCATAATGATAAGATATATTTTTTTAAAGTTATTTATTAAAGATCTCCATCTCATATAAATTTTTTTTAACAGGTGTAAAATTTAAAAAAATATTTTATTTAGAAAAGAAAAAAATGACAATAAATTTTTTTTTATTTATAAAAATAAACAAAATGTGTAATGATAATGACTCTGTTACAGCTACTTAACCAGTTTACAGTAAGAGCTTATGCAATTTACAAACTAGGCTAGGCAATTGAATGAGTTCCGAAATATTTAATATTTTTGATAATTTTTAGATTGCATTTCTTTTCCTTTTTTGCTAGTTTTAGATTGGATTACTTTTTCCTGCTAAATTTTTTTCACACTGCTAGCTAATATACAAACTAGATAGAGGCTTAGCTATCATACAAACTATACAATTATACTAGATGCTTTTTTATAAATAAATTGGCTAATTTTTGTTTTATAACCTTTTTCAAGTTTTGGAGTATTTTATGTTTTTTAATTTTAAATCTGATTTTTCTCTTATTTAATATACTATGCATATTTTCCTCAAATTTTTTTAAAAATTTGTTTGCATTTTTTATCCATTTTTACTTTAAGTTTTTAAAGATTTCTTGGCCTGATATATCTAAATTTTACTTGATCATCTACTTTATTAGACATATTTTTTTACATTTATACCCCCCCCCCCCCCTTCTCCATTTCCCCAATGCAATGATTTAACTATCTATTTCATTTTTTAAAGTTATTTAACAATACAATGCTTAGGCAATTTACTCGTACATTCCTTAGATTTATTTTCGATATAGATTAGAAAATAAAAATTTTTAAACTATCCAAAAATAATTTAGATCAGTGTTGTGTTTTAACTAGTTTATAATAGTTATTATGTCTTTGTTCTAGTGATATGTTTTTATATTACCATTTATATTTTTGTTTTTCTTTGTTCAATTAGAAGTGATGTGTTTTTCTCATTATCATGTATATCTTTTTTTTCTTTGTTCACGTATACCAAGCTTGTTTTGATTTCATCCTCAAAACTGGTTCTAGCCAGTTTTCGAGATGGACTTGGATTATTAACATTCTTTTTTTTATTATTTAATTTATCTATATAAAGACCACCAAAAAAATGTAAACGATGTGATTTTTTTTATGAAAGATTGATTAATTTCTTTTTTGTAACTATTAAAAATAAATTTGTTTTACCATATTTACACTACGTTGTCCGCGTGATCCCATGACAAAATCGATACCCAAACCCGGCCCCCTGGATCCCATTATCGACCATCCTGGACCCCCGATCACTGTGTTTTCCCCACTCTGACGGTGGGACCCGTCGGTCGGAATTCAACAATCAGCTAAGTCGAATTTTTTTCTTGTATATTTTTATAATACTTTGAGCCGTCTCAAGACCATAAAATCTATCCTTGATTAATAAAAACTATTTAAAAAATGTGATAAAACACGAAAAAATAAGTGTGAAGAATACATAAAATGTTATGAAAAATTAAGTATATTTTTTAAAATAAAATACTCAAAAATTGGCGGAAATAAATATAAAAGTAAATGAGAATGGGAGAACGAATCGAAATATTCCAAATATTTTTTGATCCTAAAGATATAAAGGGACCATAACAATGTGTCCTAAAATACAAAGGGAACCTAATCTTTATTCTGGATCCCAAAAGATATAAAGGAAACCAATTACAATGTGAATGCAATATTTGTCCTTAAAAAATAAAGTTATCTACTTCAAATCAATGATAGTCTACAACAGCCAGAGGCGAATCTGGGATTTTATTTCGAAGAAGTGTGGAGTCAAATTTCTAAAAAATAGGAGTTTTATTGTTAATATCCAAAAATATTCATAATTTTGGGAGAACAGATTTTAATAAATGATTATTTAATTAAAATAATTTTAGAAAATCAAATTATGTATAGGAAAAAATATATTACAAAATAAAATTGTAATATATCCATAAAATATTATTGAAGGAAAAAGCATCAGGAAAATCATTGTTACGTTTATGCACTCAATAATCAGGAATTAATTTAGATTTTATTTAAATTTGATAAAAATGCATAAAACTTTGCAGAAATATCTAGTTTATCATAGAACAATATCTAAGATTTTTTAGTAATAAAGAATCTACCCCTTCATAGCAAAGGGGGAAAAAAGACAAGAAACCCCAATTTTGATATGCTATATCTTAGAAATAAAATTATTTATAGCTTTCATATTTTAAACATATATTAAATAAATTCTAATGTGACTTTAACTACGATTTTATCGTTATTTTAAAATTTTTTGATAGCTTTTGCCAAGAGAGTCAAAATGGAATAATTTTAAAATGTTACAAAATGATATAAAAAAAATATGTAAATAAAATTATGATGTAAAGTGTTTATCTAAGGTTCAAATATCAATATATTTATAATAAAAATGATATATAAAAGTGATTTATGCTTAATAGGTAAAAAATTTCATTGATATTGTTATAATTGTTGAAAAAAAGAAGAAATAAATTTAATATAATACATAAAATGTCAGTTATTTTCTGACAGGGGAATTAAGTTTTCCTTGGGGGAAGAAGTGGAGATGATGATCACATGGGGTTTTATTGTTAGGAAAAAGCCATTAGTTGGAGATTTGAAGATATTGGATTAATGGTAGAAGATGTCAGCTGTGGACCTTTGGGGAATGAAGAATTGGATAATTATGATTTATTATATTATATTATTTTTAATGGATAGATTGTTGTTGTTTTATTATGGATAAAGATAATTTTGAATAAATGGGTTATGTTAAATATGGATCGTCGTTAATGGTCAATGTTATATAATTGAGAGTAAAAGGCATTTTTGTTATATTTAAGTTAACTTGTAAAAGTGGTGCCGTGACCAGGATCGACAACATATGGATTTAGGTACACAACGCATAAGTACTAATCACTGTACAGGGGTAAGTGAGATTAAGGGGTGAGTTTAAGGATTTCTATACTTTTATTAAAAGGTGTAAGATAGAAAGTATGTAATGAGTATTAGGCAGAAATATGGAAATAAGATCAGGAATTTAAGACAGTAATATTTGGTATATTATCTTATGTGTAGATGTATATGGTACATCCAATTTTGATTATTATTTGATATGCCTTAAGACTCATTGAATGGTGTTATAGGTATTCCGTCATAGGAAGATAAAAGACCTCATGATCAGTAGGACAGAAAGGATTGCTAAATATTTAAATATTTGAAATTTAGGAAAATATATATGGAAATAGACTTTTGTAATAAAGTGTATATTACAATTATGCATTTTGGGGTTTTAAAGGTATGGACATGTGTGGGATCATTTATTGTTAATTAATGTTAATATAATGTATTTGTAATTTAGTTTCAATTAAGGTTGATATGTTATTAAAGGATCTATTGAGGGTGAGTTAATGTTGTTTATTTTGAAGTAATTAACCATTTTTATGAAATAGGGTGTAATGTGAATTACACATACGATATATTTAATTATGAATGATAATATTTATTTTGATTTAGTGTCTGCATTTAGTATATATATAAATTGGATAGGAATTTATATGATATATCAGATGATGTATTTAGTATATATATAAATTGGATAGGAATTTATATGATATATCAGATGATGTATAATATTTTTTTTTTCCAAATTATGAAATCTTTATATTTAATATATATTTTTTTTTTTAAATTTGCAAAAAATAATTTAATTGATAAATTAAAAAATAAAAGTAATATGATATCCTTAAGTACAGATTTATGGACTGCTAATAATAGCACGTCCTACTGTGCTATTACTTTCCATTATATTGATAACAATTGGGATATTGTAAATAGGATTTTAGATATTATTTTGTTTCCTCACCCACACACTGGAGATAATATCTGCAAAATTGTTTTATCATCATTATAAGATTTTAAATTAAGTGATAAAATAATATCAATAACATCAAATGAGATCAAGGCAGTACAACTGCTGCAAGAGTATTATCAAACCCATTACTCGAAATGGGCATCGCTGCATGGCCCACATCATTAATTTAATAGTAAAGGTGGGCCTTCATTTTTTTGAGGCGAAATTGGAAAAAATAGAAAATATAGTTAATAAATTACATAGCTCACCCAAATTTATGCAATCTTATAAAGCCATATGTTGGGCTACATTAATACCTTTAGCTGTTACAAGATGGAACAGCAAGTACCTCATGATATCCGAAATTAATAAGGTAATAATTATTATTGTATATTTTATTCTTTTTCTTAATATTTATCTATCTAGAATATTGATCCAATTCATGAACTGAGCGATCAAGGTATAATAGGGGAGGATATTACCCCAACTTCTGATGAATACTCGTTCTTCCTAGAGTTGGAAGAATTTCTTCTACCCTTTTATCAAATAACAGTAGAAATATCCACTCATTCTCCCACAATCGGGATGACCCTTTTATTCTTCAATGATATATTGGAGAATTTAAAAAATCATACCGTGGCATATTCAAATTTGTCAATAAAAGAAGCAGCCACTATTATGTTAAAGAAAGCTGAAGAATATAGTCATAATATATTCACTCCATATAATTACGCAGCGTTGTTACTTGATCCTAGGATCAAAAATACCCTAATTACAAATCTAAAGGATGACGTTGCAGATAAATATTTAGATATATTTAAAATAAACTTTGCAAAATATACGTCAGAGCCAGATGTGTATAATTTTGATAATAATAACAATATCTCGAATTCTAAAACTATTTCAATATTGCAGGGATTGAAAAAAGGGTATATTTGTTAAATGTTCTATTATAAATCCATAATCTTTGATATTTTAAATTTATCCATATTTAGAAAAGGAGCATCAAATGGCACTAATGATAATAATCAATTAACGACATACCTCAATGAACCACTCGCGCCCGAAATCACAAATATATTAGATTGGTGGAGAGGAAATGCTGATCGTTTTCCTCATTTAGCAATGATGGCCAGGGACTATTT